AAGCAAATCTAGGAAATAAAAATTACTCCCACCTTATCCTGTTGTTTTTCAGCATGCCTTGTACTGAATATCCACACACACACCCTGTGCTCACAGCCTGATTTAAAGCCTCCTTGGCCAGACATCTCTCTCCAGCCCTAACCTTTCTCACTCCACTTCACCGTCTTTCTTCTCTCCCAGCCCTCACCAAGGACCCATCCCTCACTGTTTGCCATCAGGCTTCATCATGCATCCCTGTGTCTTTAGGGTGTCCTCTTTTTCCTCTGTTCCAATAGCTTCAAGGTCATTCACTGCTCATAAGGGAACCCAGCTTTTTTCTTCGCTCCCCAGACACCAGACATCTCTGGACCCCTCTGTCTATCTTCCTTCATGGTTCTCTCTTTCAATTTGCAAAACCTTCAGTCTATCAAATTTTAAGCAGCAATATTTCAAGGGAATGGACAGGAAATTCCCATGCCCATAATTAAATTTCACATGTAGAGTTGTGCGTGCCTCAGCGTCCTCACTGACAAATACTTCTCATAATGAGCCACAGCTACTACAAATCAAGTAACTCAAAAACTGAAACGATTGCAAAGAAAAGAACGTGACTCAAATACGTAGGACCTTTCTTTTAACACAGAAAGCTTTTCATTGTTAAAAATACGCTTGAATACAGCGTTCAAAACCTGAACAAACTGATTAACCAGGGACCAAGTCAGTAAAGGAGCAGCAGTGCTCTGTGTTATCATATGAGGGGCCACAGATCAGGGATGACAGAGGCTGATGATATATGGCCACATCACTGCTACAATGCCACAGGTCTCTGTGGAACAATCCTGGCTCCACTGCCCTTACTTGGCAGCTGCACTAAAACCTCTGCAAACAGGAATTACTCCAGAAGGCTTTCCGCTCCCCTTCTGTTGAAAAAAATAATTTGGGGAATACACATAGCCACCAGCCACACTGCTGCACTGGAAGGATCTCTTGTGCACAACCTCTCTCTGTGCATTCCATCCCCTTCCGTAGTGCATAAGAGCCTCTGTAACACAGAATGGTACAGATATCACTTTGCCACAGGAAAACATTTCTAGTGGGAGATTTAGGAAGCAGTTTGCTTCTGCCAGCAAAAGCAGTACATCTCCCTGTGCCTCTCTTTAAGAAAAGGAAAGGTCACAATGATCAGCTAAAGCGCTGGAAGCAAAAGGGCAGAATATTACTCAAAACAACAAAGGTCTTCATTTTAAATTACTCTGAGTAATACTTGGTGTTTGAACTCTTTGTGCAAAGAGACAAGAGAAGGAGGGAGTAAGTGCCAAAGCCACTTATGTGCCACACCATCTGTATGTGCCATGAATTCCAACACACCGAGCTGAACAGGAACAATCTTGTTTAAAAAAAAAAAAAAGTCACAAAAGTTTCTGATTTCAAATTCTGAAAATCTGCTTTATTCCCTTCTGCCTGGGTTTTGAATAGGTGGGATTTCAGGCGAGTCTTAGGCTCTCCAGTGTCACAGAGGAGCATTGTGGAACCAACTGGGTTTGCTCTCTTTACAGAGTGATGTGTTTGAGTTCAAATCTCTGTCCAGTCTCTGTACTACCAAGTTAAAGCCTTAACTAAGCCGCAGTAGGAACACAGTCTCCACTCCTTCAGGTTCTCAAAGTTGTCACCCTATACAGGGATTAAACTGTCAGTTTCTGAGGCCTAGCCAGTATCCCTGTTCATCGCAGGGCAGCTGGACTAGATGATCCTTAAGAGTCCCCTCCAACTCAAATGGCTCTATGATTTAAGTGGGCATTTATGACGTTCTTACTAGCAGGAGGCAATATGTGAAAAAGCAATCTGCAGCACTAGGCATACAGACAAGGAATGGAGAAGGGCTGTAAACCAAACCCTGCTCTGTTGTTCTGTTACTCAAAGAGCTTCAAATTATTACCATTATTTATACCATCATAGAATTTAGAGGTCTTGATCAGGTTTCTGTTTCCATGGTGCCAGGTTTTGTCCACACTCAGAATGAAAACATTTGGGAGAATTTAACAGAATTCATATCAAATTATTTTCAGGCATGTATTTAACATGAGAAAGAAATGAAACAAACCAAGAGCATCACTGCCTTTGAGTAAACACCTCAGACTGCCTCACATACCTTCCTCCAAGAGAACAGTGCAGGATGGACAGCCAACCTACTGTGGCAGTCTTCTGCACACTTAGGTTTCATGTGTGCCAACGCTTTTCTTAAACAAAATCTCAGAGCCAAAGATACAACTATTGATGATTATGAACCAGCAGCTTGGCATGCTTAGATTCTTCATGAAATATAAGCAAGAGGATATATCTTAAAAAAAAAAAAAAAAAAAAAAAAGGCAAATATCACAAGCACAGTTAATGCCTTCTTTGGGCATCAGGGGAAAAAAAAAAAAAACAACAGTGCTCACATTTTTTTTTTTCTTTTCCAGATTATTTTAAATGATTATTTTTCACTTAGGGGGAATATCTTTAGCTACAAACAGCACTGAGTTAGTAGACTCATAGAAGAATCATAGAATCATCCAGGTTGGAAAAGATCACTAAGATCATCTAGTGCAGCCACCCACTGACCACCAATGCTGCATCATCTCCAGGGATGGTGACTTGGTGACTCCACCACTTCCCTGGGCAGCCTGTTCTGATGCCTCATGGTTCTTTCTGAGAAGAAATTCTTCTTAATAACCAATCTGAATCTCCCCTTATTGTTACAAAACTGTACTTGGTGTTATCTCAATGTTGGAATATGAAGAAAATGTGAGGAAAAGCATGGGGAAAATATTTCACAACATGAGAGAGCAGGTCAGACAGAGAACTCCCTGGCCTGCCTTGCACCTTCTGGCAAGTGTAGCTCTCCCACGGCATCCTGAGAGGTGCTGCATCTTCACACAGTCTGACACATCCTCTGGCCAGCTCAGGGCTTAACTGACACACCATCAATTAAGGGTGAAGCACAAGTGAGGTCACTGAGACTGCTATTAAGAAAGAGGAATAACAAGCCAAAGAACTGCATTCTCATTATCTGTCCCTATGGCAGCCTTGGCCCAGCAGCAGCACAAAGCAATAGCATGGCATGAGTTTCCCTGGCTCCTGCAGAAGGTGAAAGGCTAGATTAAATTTAAACAAACAAGAAAAACCAAATGCAACACTAAGTACATACAGGTCTAGATTCCATCATGTAGATCCCATCCTGAAAAGACTTCAGGATCATTGAGTCCAACCGTCAATCTGCTCTACTAGTCCCATCATCCAACTATGTACCTTCATGTCACACTTCTGGCAAACACAACAAAGGCACAGCAGCCACTCTGGCTTCCAGGGCTGTTACTTTCAACTAATTGTCCGGCACTAATCTTCAATAACTTCCAATTTGGAACATTCATTGATTGAAATTGTATTAGAAAACTTGTGTCTATTAAGATGTAGAAGCCTGCAAGTAGAATTAACTGCTCCTACAGCCGCATGTACCAGTCATGTCTATCTCAGTGTTGGGCAGGTATGAAAACTTCTATCAGCTGGTGTAAGAAGGGAATAAGGAAGTGAGTAAGATCACAGATTGCTCTACTAACACAGACTTTACTGCATTGTGAGGAATAAAATATGAGCAATAGGCCCCAAAAATGGCTGAGACTCTATGCCAGGAGATACAATTTGCAGATGATGGATGTGCAGGAGAATGCAGCAGATGAGATGAAACTTTGTTTTGAATCATAATGCAGTCTCTATATTCTCAGCCTTTTTTGCATTCTGTCTGTCTAAGGGAATAACCCAATTCCTTATACAGCTTTTCAAACCATGAGTTCCCATTGCAGGGACCTTCCCATCATCAGTTTATGAAAATAACCTCATTTCTCCAGAATACGTCTGGAAAGCAGCTAAGTAAACAATCAAAAATGTAACACATTTCTGCCTGAAAATACACCACAGTCAGTGATTGCACAAGAAAATTCTTATGTGCTGCAAATATTCCTCCACTTGCTGCAGCAGTTGTACCCCCCTGTTATTGCACCACCCTGCCATTGGAGCATTATTGGCAGTGGCAGCGTGCACTGGAGTTTTATTCCCTGTCTCTAGGCCAGTCCTTTAATCTTTTTTTTCTTTCCTCTCTGAAGGTTATTTATGCAAGTGTGACAAGCAGTTACAGTAAAGTTCCCTGCAATGAAAGGAGTGCAGGGCAGCAGTAGATTCCATTCCAAAATCATTTTGAATTCTAAAGGCTCCATTTAAGGGATGATGATGGGAGCAAAGGGCATTTCTTCAGGATTAATCACTGGCTGGGTGAGATGATAGCCCAAGGCAAAGCCACGGGCCATTAACCCCTGCGGGTCACCTTATCCCTACAGGAAATGCGCTGGGTCAAGTTCACTGTTGCTATTATAAAATCTTATTGGAGAAAGAGGTTACACTTCTCTGTTTATATATGTCCTCCATTCCCATGTTTGTAATGATAGCAGATAGCTTTTGGCAATGCCTCTATATTGTACCACGGAGAGATGTAAGAACAAGTTCTATTGTTATATTTGATGCTAAAGATACAAGTGGATTTTTTAATGTTTACAGGGAAGCATTTAAGGTTCTCAGTAAAAGAATGTAAATGAAACAGAGAAACACCACGTGAAAGAAACCCAATGAAATAATATTAGGAAGGGAGACCTCTCCTTAAACAGTGTAAAACATCATATTTCCCCTAAAGCAAAAGGAGCAGCACAAACCATCTGAAGAACTCATCCAGAAGTTTTGTTTGAAACACTGAAGGAGAAGCTGTAGGCTTGCATCAGATACCATTACACATGGCACACGGCATAAAATAGCAGTTTGACAATATTGCCGAGTGGGATTTATGTGCTCACAGAAACAGCATTTAAAAGCAACGCACAAACTCTCAATGATTTCAATAAGCCTCAATCTCACAAACTTTAGTTGGACCCTGCTGTTTCCAACCAGGACACTGGGTTACAGTTTTCCAAGCAGCCCACTGCAAAGGGAGAGATTACCTGTGCAGCTGTGTGCTCACTGCAGATCCTTTGTACGCCAACACCAACCTCAGCCTCAGAACTGAAGCCAGGATCCAGAACGGAAGAGCCTCAGGATATTCAAATCTGAAGCTACACCTGAACATAAAAGAGAAAAGAGTGAGCTTAGATCAAAGCAGGCCTCGTGCCTCCCGAGCCTCTCTTGAAATGTAAAAAAAGATCTCAACTTTTGTTAAATAGAAAACAGTCCTTAGCACTCTGCTAGAGAAGCACCCATCTCTTATTCCTAGCACAACTGCTACCTTTATCTCCTGCGCTTGTAACCAAGGCAAAATGCACTAGCAGCTTTGTAGCAGCCAGCGCATCACACTGCCCATAGAAACAGAAATGTCACTGCAGTACAGAATAGTGGAGCTTTTCCCAGCAATATACCTTAGTCTCAGAGATTCTCCTGCTGCCCCATGGGGAAAGGAGCTGAACCCAGCACAGCTGCTAATTACATGCTGCAGATCCCACTTGAACCAAGGAACATAGTGAGGTGCTTCTCTTCTGCAAGGAGCCCAGAGGTCCCTCGCCCCCCATTGCTGGCACCCTCACTTATGAGCAGAGAGGCTCCCTGACCATTGCCACATCGGCTGGTATCCTACTCTGGGGCGCTCGCCTCTCCTCTGTGCTGCATTCTGAGCCTAACCAGCTAGCAAGCCATTCTGATTTCCCTACAGAGTGTTAAAGTTGCGAAGGAAAACAGACTTCCATCATTTCCTTAGTTTCAGAATGCCAGACTTTGCAGTTTTAATGTTCTTTTAATGAAGTTTTTAGGTGTAATACAAACATACAATCACTTTAAGCATATGGCAATAAACTGCAAAGTAAATATAATTACAGTAGCTCTCACCAAATGTAAAGCTTTACGTTTTGCTGTTAATTGACTGAAAGGATTTCCAAATGCAGAAAAGAAAACTTTGGCATCAATTTTTAATAAAATACAGCAATAAGAACTAATATCTTGAGGGATGAAATAGCAGATTTTAGATCTTACAATATGATGATGTAGAAGTGTGTAACTGCTGATTGTTGATTGCTGATGCTACACTCCAACTAAATTCTAACCTAACATTAAAATAACAAAAAAGGTCTGGGTTAAGCCAAAAAGAAAAGCCATTATCTTCATTCCTTTTTCTAATAATCATTGTGAAGAAAGACCCATGGCATAGAATCAGGTTGGAAAGGACCCAAAGATCATCTAGTTTCAACCCCCCTGCCTATGGCAGGGTAGCCAACCACTAAAGCAGGCTGCCCAGAGCCACATCCAGCCTGGGATAATACATAAACGAAAAAGAACATTTCCTCACAGTGCTGACCCCTGTGAGGATGGGGGCTGGTGAAAGCCAACCCTTCAATAGAAAACCCAACATTTCCCATGGCAGAGAGCCCTGCAGGATGGACAGGAAGAGCCAACTGCCTGCTACCTGCACATGCAGTCCCTATATGCTGTGACATAAATCACCATACTTACAAGATGAAAAAGAGGCTGAAAAAATGTCCCCTTTACTGCTAATAGTCATAAAATTTAATAGAAAACAATGAAAGTAGATCATGCTTTGTTGTATGTTTGGATGGCCAACACTTGGAATGTTCACATCAATTACTCCCATGAATTTTGTGCCTATATCTGTAAATACTGCTGATTACTAACTCATACGTTATATATATTATTATGAATGCCAAAAAAATCTGTAACTTCTTTTTTTTAACAGTTAACATCAATTGCCACATTTGGTGTCACAGCTGGAAAGATTATCACTGGAAAGTGATAATAGGAAAAGAAACAAACAGGGAAGAAGTGCTCACCTAGATCCAGAGACATGGGTTCAGAGGAAATACTCCATAAGGGAAGGATCTCGAGAAAGAAATCCTTCCTGAGTAGCAGTCAACCCTTAAATGGGGTCTAGGAGAGGCGCAGCCAGGCTCCCTCCTTCCAATCACAAGCTGAATCACCTTCACCTGTGCTCCCAGGGCTGACTCAGTGCTTGCCTCAGGTGATCAATCAGTGGTTCAGGCCATGAATCAACAGTTCCCATATGTTAATTTTTATAAAAAAAGACTACTCTGGCCGGTTTTCTTTCACGTCTGTGCTGAGAGACACACTGTGCCTTTGAAGTTCAAGCCAGGTTTTATCTCACGATTTTTTTGTTCAGAATAGACAGCAAGAAAGAACGATTCATCTTGCTTCTCTGCATTTTTAAGGAATGAAATGGGCTGCCCTATTGAGCAAAGCTGAATAGTTTGGTCCTTCTGTGCTTTGTCGAGGTACTGCTGCAGCAAGTGGAATTCAGATCTCCGCACAAACCACCATCTAATGCTGCAGTGCTACAGCCCAGCCCCTGTGGCTGGAAACCTCCAGGTTGGTGTGTTTAACCTAGGCTGTAATTCTTTCAGGAATGAAATCGGAAGTTATGACAGTCTGAATCTCTGCCCCCTTGCCCCAGTTTTTTGCCTATTTAATGGTGTTGGACTACATAAACTGCACCACACCACAGGAATGGGGAATTGGGACCAAGTTGATTTTTGGGTGCCTCTGTTTTGTGTTGTATTTGTTCAGCATGCAAGCCTTGGCCACATTCAGAACACTAGTTTTGTAATACCCATCATCTTCTCAGATTTACTGGTTTACTATTTTAACCTGCAAATAATACAGTAAGAAATGTCATACATGTATTATATTATATATATTCAAGCACAGAAGAAGAAACTCTGTGAAGAATAGGCATCACCAGTTATAGTATATATAGAATAACATTGTAGACTTGAACAAGGAAGAATTTTCTCTCCTTCCTCTTCTGGGGCTTCTAAAACCCTCACTATAACTGTGAGATCCCACCCTCCTCTTGTGGACATGGGTACAACCTGGTGATGGGCAGTGGAAGTCAGGTCAGATTAAAGCAGCCCTGAATCTGGCAATGAGAAATGGTTTCCTTTCATACTGCAGACAATAGCTTAGACACAAATCTGTAGCTAACCATTAACATAAAATACCGAAGAAAAAAATCCCCTTAAATGAAATGTTGCTTGTTACCTTAGTGTGTTGTCAAATTATGTCAAACTAAAATAGCCCCAAATGTATTTGTTTGACAAACATTTTCTGCCTTTCATTTGTGGCATCTTGTCCACAAATACGTAGCATATTTATTCTGTTCAGATAAATAGCGTGAGAGATCTGACTCACACTAATACAGCCAATGCCAATGGAATCCTGCTGCTATTACATGGTTCTTCAAGGTGATCGGTAGTTTTGCTTTTAAAATGATGGAGAAAAATTCAGCAGCGACACAGAATCACAATTACAATAGGGGCTTTGAAAATTGTTTCTTAAATCAACATACCGTTTAATGTATACAGCATACCTACCTTACCTAAAGTAATGACATACAAATATTATATATCATCCAACAATGTGAGAAAATGTCACTACATTCATTTAAAATGACTGTTTGTGATAATGTGCTTTACCATATTTTGCTCAGGGCAACATATTTCCACGCTTTATGAAATTATTAATTCTCATTAAATTTTAATGTTCCTGCCTGAAAAGAGCGGAGCTAATTAACTGCCCCATTAAAATTATTACTTAGCCGTGATGAGTCCTGTAAATGTTTCTACTTTGTTAGGCAAGTAGAAGCTTTCTGAACCAAAGCACCTACCAGCAGCACTGCACGCGCACATAGCGTGATGTAGGCTGGTCTGAGAAGTGACAGGAATTAAGGCAGAAACAAGAGATCCAGTTTAGCACTCTTTCTCTTGTGCGATTCTCCTACAAGAGGAATTATCAAAGAAGTTATGTCCTCACGTTCAAGACATGAGTGAAACATCAAACTGCATGGCACTACAAAGACATTTCCCCATTGGCAACTTATTCCATAAGAGTAAAATTAACCAGATCCTAACAGGTCCCAGGTAGTCATTGAGACCAAGTGTTACAGCCTGATATAATTATTTTCCTTCTTTCACAAAGAAAAAGATGAAGCTCACACTGGTGCAGAGTTGCTGCACAGCCCACAGCAGACGCAGGGTAGGCATCCAGCTGGGGCCATCATCAGTACAGCAGCTGTCCCCGAGCTCCTTCCCTGCTGCAGGGACCTTGTGGGCAGGTTTCCTCCAGGTTATCCAGGTGTATTGGCAGAGTATTCCATCAAAACCATGTGCGTTTGGTCGTGTGATCCTTCACAGCAGGTAAAGTACCAAGAATCCATAGCAGGATTGGATGAGCTTTTGGCAGCCTCTGTGGGATTTAGGAGACCAGCACTCAAAGTCCTATTTTGACCCACCTTTCCAATATGGCCTTAGATACGGTTCCCAGATGGTAACATATTTAAATATATCATTTGCAGTTAAATACGCATCATTTAAATAGAAATGAACTATTTAAGTATAAGTATCTTTGGAGATTTGCATTGCAGTGACTCTGTACCACTGTTGTCATCCTTGAAGCTGAAATACCAGCACGTGCTACCTGGCCAGATGGCAGTGCAGAGAGAACCCATGATGGCTGCCCACACACTGTGCTTACTGGGGTCTCACACACGTACCCCAACATGTGCATGTAGGATTTCACCCCGCTAACAAAAAGTTTGCACATGGGCCTCACGTTTTTGAAAGCCACATCTGAGCATCTCAGTAACCAAAAATGGTGTATGCTTGGAGGTATCCTGCCTGTGGGATATCTTGTGTTTGCAACTGAGTAGTGCTGAACGTATGTGGTTTTAAGGTTTTAAATCACACACGTAGAAATCTCTGGTGATATGCCTGCATGCCCATCTGCCAAAGAAACGGAGCAGAGCTGATTGCTGCTCTTCAACTCAGACCAAGAGCTACTGCAGGCAAGCATCAAACATTCTAATCAGATAATAATTCAAATATAGATATTAATTAAAGAAATTTAAAAATGTATGACTCTTGTGAGCTGAGATCAGAGTTATTATATTATTTACATTCCCTGAGTAAATTATTTTTAAAATGATTTGCTCCGCTTCATTATTAGAACATTTTTCAAAGCCTTAATGTTTTTTCAGTTTTGATTTTTAAATCAAAGGTAAAGGTTGGGGCTTTTCACAAAAAAAGAATTACTGCTTAACAGTGCTCTGCAGATAGGAAACATTATTCTTTTTAAACAGTCACCTCCTATTACTCCCAAAGAAACACCTCAGTTTGGGCAGGATTCTGCCACAGCGTTTTTGGTACAGAATAGAACAGAATAGAATATCCCAAGCTGGAAGAGATCCCAAGGATCAAGAGCAACTCCTGGCTTCACACAGGAATCAATTGCTCATTTATGTTGGAAATGATTGAAATTAAATTTGCACCCTAAATTGGCAAATATACACTGTACATCTACAGTGTCACTTACTTAAACATTTAGCATTGCCAGAGAGTTTTGAATGTTTATCTGTAATAAACTATAGTCTCAAACACTGGCTGCTGTGGAAATGCCAACACATTTTCTTTTACCATGTCACCACTTTCAGCTGCAGCTAATAACTGGAGATCAATTATTAAAATTAAGCAGTCATTCCAGCCCCATAGAAAAGCTTTGCCAAATGTTTGCAATGGCAATGTTCAATAGCATGTGCTTCCTTCCAATACCTCACCCCAGCACTTTCCTTGAGTCTCCATGCACGCTGCATCCCTCTGGAAAAGCAGCTGACTTGTTTGTATGAGATGGATCCATATGTGAGTGGTCCAGTGCACATCACTAAGCGATGTGCAGGAGAGAAAGTCCATAGTGAGATCCACAATGCTATTTTAGACCACAAGGTGACTCAAAGGGAAGAAGTGTCTCAAAGTGAGGACGCACAAATGACTTGATTTGATTGAAGCAGCAGATGACAGTTAAAACACATTCAGTTGCACCAAGATAGATGCTTCTGTTTAGGCAACCACCAGGTACTGTCCCAAACTCTGCTGCTTCCTGGTGCATCCTTCCAAGTGGAGCATCCTCTCTGGTAGAATGTCCTTCCAAGTGGAGTATGCTTCCCAATGCAGCATCCTTCCTGGTGGAACATCCTTACTGGTGGAGCATCCTTTCTGATGGAATGTCCTTCCTGACAGGGACTGGGCTGCATGATCGCAGACACAGCATCTCCACCACTGGTGTACTCCCCAGAGAGCCACACCACTTGCAGAGCACTTCCATTATACTCACCAACACATTAATGCTAGGAATATTGGAAAACATTTGCAACCAATTTTATAGTTAGTTAAAACCAGATTTTCTCTATTCAGTCTCTTGTTCTGTGACTTTTCCATCTTTTTTTGTTTTGAAGGTTAGGGGTTTTTTTCTGAGTGAGTTGCATGCAAGCTTTAACTGTAAACAGGTTAATTGCAGCTCTGATCTTCCTCCAGTGTCTGACCATACAGACAAGCAATTCGCAAAGCCCAGGAATCAGCATGGATCACTACATTTCCCAATGAGACCAGACAGTTGGTGCTGCCAGCAGAGAAGCCATGTATGCCAAACCATACAGCTAGTTCATAGTATGGCAACAATTGCTCAGAAATTTCCATATCAAGTGTTTTAGGAAAAGATTCAAATAGCCCATCAGCCAGTCTGGCGGAGTAGATGATGCATTTACAATCGCCATATATTTCAAATTGCTCTTCACTCACTTGTGGTCACACATTACAAATCCAAATGTTACGTAAACTAGATATACCACAGGGTCTGAAGCTAAAGTTCTGTTCAGAACAAATGTAGAAAAATGTTATGACACAAAATCATCATTCATTTCTTTATCAAGACAAAAAATTATTATCCCTTCATTTCTTCAGAAACCACTATTTCTAGCAGGAAGGAGAAGTAAGCTGGCGTAAGAAAGCAAAATCTCTTTAACTTGAGTTTCAA